TACTACTACTACAGCTACTACTACTACTACTGCTACTACTACTACTACTACTACTACTACTCCTGCTGCTGCTACTACTGCTTCGACTGCTACAACTACCACTACGACGAGAACTACTACGACCATCGCCAGAAGCCAGGGGGAATGCTCAGGAAGCTTGGGGGTTCAATCCTACGTGTGACTGTCCGGCAACAGGCGTCCATTCAAGATGTCTTTCTTCGCCGACCAGCACTCGATCATGAAACACTGCTGCTTATGTGGGACCTTGATGATCCTTGATGTGTCCAGCTTGAAATCGTGCCCGTTGCGGGATTTGAAAGCGGGTCTGCTGAATACCTCGCGGCAGACCCAGGCCCTCCGAAACCTGCTCAGCAAATGCTCGCATATCGACCGTTCTGAAGAACGAAAAGTGCGCTCAAGTACAGCTTGGCATTCTGGCACTCTTTGTAGCCAAGATTGTCCATCAAGTTTCGAATTTTCCAGCTTTGTGCTTTCTCGAATGGAGTCAGATCATGTAGCTCAATCATAAACACTTCCACCAGCACCTCGGAAAAGTTCATGGTGAGCAGAACTTCCAACTCGGCGCCTTCAACGTCCAACACCAGGAAGTCAACATGCTTCTTCGGGAGGGCCTTCAGATACCAAGACATGGGTCTGCAAGGCACCACGACACGCTGGCGCAGGCGTTTAAATCTGCTACGTACCGTTTAAGACAGGTGTCTCGTGTCTCCATCCACATACGGAATATCACCTTTCGAAAACGTTGTATTTGTGATGGGAGGTGGGCACACTGCCCCGTACTGGGAAATCGCATTTGTTATGCCCATATACTGTAAATTCCTGATCAACATTTGGAAGTTGCGTGGGCTGCCCTCTATCAACATTCCAGTCCACCCCAGACATGTCTGTAGGGTGAGCGTGTTTGAATACTTGTAGCCATCCAGGGCGCCGATCTCGACATAAACCCCATCTCTCTTCGTGCGCCATCCGAGCAGCTCAATCACCTTGAGTTCCTCGCCGAACTGCGACTGGCTCTTGTAGCAAGAATCGCTTCCCCCGAGGCAGCATCTCTCAAAGTTGAAGCTCTGCCCCTTCCAGCATGCAAGCTGCCTTCCAGACCAAGGATGTTCACAGCAAGCCTCCCGTTGATCTTCCTCCAGCCCAGTCCAACAACCAGGATCACCAGGCAGGAGGGCCCCGAAGGAGGGAGTGGGCAAGGCGGTGGCCAAAAGGGCTGCAAGTGCTGTCGGGTGGCACATAGCGCCGCAAATGCTTCTCCGTCTTGCTTGCTTCGCACGAAACATGGCTGATTGTGGGCTTCGAATTTTGTCGATGTCTCTATCGGTCTATCAGTATCAAACCCTCCAGGCGTGCCTTGCTTGCTTCATTGCTGTGGCCGTCTCATATTAGGCGTGCATACTGACATACATACATACATACATAGTGTCATACATACACACACACACACACACACACTCTCTCTCTCTCTCTCTCAGTAAAATTCGATGTGGCCATGCCATATCTAAGACTATTCTCACAGCATGGCATGTAGTGGAATATCAGAGATAGGACACACATGATCTCAGGATGCTTGTGCCTGTACCCTACCAGTATCACATAAGGTCCTATCTCTTTCTGGGATGCAGACTACCTGCTCCTGTCTGCCCCGGCCCAAATTCTTCCACCCAGGCTTGAAGTCACCCCACTAAGCACATGCAATCGCCATAACAACCACCAAATAGCAAGGGAAGTGCACGGCCTTTCTTGGGTGAATGACGAAAGTTGCATTATTCGACGGTGGATTGGCCTTTCGACACAATGACACGAAGCAAGAATCCGCTATCAAGGACTGCATCTGGCGCCACATCCTATACAAGGGGGTGGGAGTAAAGAACGTGGATGACGAATGCCACGTCAGCAAAGGGCAAGCAGCAGCCAGAACTACTTACTACATCAGGCCTCCGTGTAGGGATCCTGCCCACAGCTGGACTTTTCTCTAAACTCGCTGCGCGATTTGCTTGCAAGCATAAGGCCCGCGGAAAGCCAACAAACCCCGAGGAAAGCGTGGAGTAAGATTTCGAGACGAACGATCCAACCCATGTGGACAAAAGGACATGCTTAGGCACGCTCAGAGGACATCCGTACTGATTCGAGGATAAGGACAAAGAACTAGGACGAACTGGGATAGATATTCTGGCGGGTTTTATACGAAGATCACCTCACTTTCTTATGCGATTCTTGCGGTTACGATGCAATGCACGGCAACAGCCTTGGCACGGTCCAGCTTAGCGAGGCCAGGCTAGCCCGATGACAGAAGCTTGCAGAATGTGCCGTCTACTTGACTCCGCGGAGAGATGGACCCCCTGTCTCCCAAAAACAAGAGCCCGACAGTTCTTGTCTGGCGTGCGGGGGCTCTTTTTGGGGGGTCGTTCCACCAATTTTTCAAACGCATAGAAGCTTCCGAAAAAAAACTCATGAAGCTTCAGGTCAACAGCACCACTACTCACTACTCAACACCTACGTACTGTGGACCCCAAAGCGAAATCCTGAAATGACGGCTGAGGACTGTGCCCCTGAACATACGCATGAAGGTTCAAGCGACTCTTCCGAAGCATGAACACCCCAGTTGCCTGAAGCTCAGGAAGCACATGAAGCTGTCCAGTGCCTTCGATGAAACGATTTGCGAGCCACGAAGTAAGAAAAGGCTTCGGAAATTCACAAGTTACTGGAGGGCTTCGGGTTTCAGGGTTCAGTTTAATCCGGTTCAATCCAGAGGTTTCTGGACACTCACACTCGGATAACAGCGAAGGCTGCCACTGCATATGGAGTTCTACAGTCGGGCTCGTCTCCTCTCTTCGCACAGCTCAGTTCCTCCACTACACGAAGGCAAAGCCTGCTAACTCCAAGCTCCAAACATATTATACCGAGTGGCCCAATCGTAACACACCCCGAATCTGGAAAGCCCTTGATAATTCTTCATGTTTCATATTATTCTTTAAGGCCCTAAGGTTCCTAAATGTCGTGATACACTCGTACATAAGTCCCAAAACCCTATGCTAACTATTCATCTTGATGAAGCAGGGCACGGCCGCAGGCCACCATGACCGCCTCCAGTGCTATAGCATCGGCCTCCATAACGGCTCTTCTTCAAACCCTTCGAGGTTTTGAAGAATTGGACTAGAGTTTTGGGGGTTCTGCAATAAATTATACATCTATGAGGTGCTTAAAACCCTTGCATCCACGACGCCAGGTGCTAGCTGCTAGCATTCATAATTCATATATTACTCATCGACAAGCGAGACTGGAAACGCCATCGAACCTTCAAGAACACCAAATTAATTAGCTCCAACATCTCCCGGACCAGAAGCCCTCAAACCCAAACCCTACACCCTGTACTTCTGAAGCCAACCCTCAATCCGTAAACCCTTTAAAGCCGAAACCCCCAAACCCCGCAGCCCGAAACCCCTTTGGAAACCTAAAGCCTCAAACAGCCAAACACCCCAAAAGCCTGAAAAAAACCAGGTCTTTGCCCTCGGGTCTCTTCCTGGATTGCTCCTTGCCTCGCCGTGTGCAGCGGCTAAGCTCAAAATCGCGACTGAATTCTCCTTGTAGGGTCGGGGCTTTGGGCAACAAAGGGGTGCCATGGGGGCCACAAAGGGCAGATTAGTCCCACCTCTACATTACCCTTTTCAGTCGTAGGCTTCTCATAACTCCTAGCCTGCTTCGGAAGGGAGTGTCGAGCTTCCGGCTGGAAAACACAGTACATGTTTTTTGCTTCAGAAATTTGAGTTTGGGAGCTTTCCAAGCCGTCGAATGTTGGAAGAGAGGCCCTTGGAACGGCTCAATGCGCTTTCGAGCTTCGGTTCTTTGGCGTCACCTTTTGGAGAGTATGTCAGTATGTCCACGCAGAGTCTGACCTACAGGGCGTGGCTGGTTTCTTGATTCGGCGCTCACTCGGACAGGGTTTAAGGGTCAGTGGCAGGTGTCCCAGCTCCATGCACGCCGGCAGGCGGCCAACGCAGCGTTGTGCGTAACCTGACTCTTCATATGGGAAAGCAATCAAATCTACACAAACATATGAATTCATATTAAGTTCTGGGTTCAACTTCTCACGAACGTTGTGGCTGGAACTCCGCAAGGTGGCGAGGTCTGGTCGTGGTCCGGCCTGCCACATGCCTGCACAAACAACGGCTTCAAGCTTCCAGGCTAGGTCGTTGGGGCTTTCCGGACTGACGCTCCAGAATTCTAACATGGGCCGCCGGCCTTCCAAGAGGGAGAGCAGCTTCTCCAGCTGTTGACCCTTCTCAAGCGCGCTGGCCAAAGCGTTGTGCACCCAAATGGAAGGCTCCGCTTTGAACGCGGCCTCCGCCTGCGAGAAGAGCTGAACGGCGATCTCCCAACAGTTGCACTTCTCGCAGGCGCTGATGGCGGCACTGAAAGTGAATTCGTTGACTTCCAAGGAAGCCACGTGCATCTGGGCCAGGAGTGCAACAGCATGCCTCCAGCTCAGCCCCTTCTCGCAGGCAGAGACCGCAGCGCTGCAAGTCACGGTGTTTGGCTCGGTGCCTGCTGCACGCATGCGCTGTAGAACAGAAAGAGCTAGCTGCCACTCATGAGTCTTCTCACATGCAGTGATTACAGCGCTGTAGGTCACAGTGTCCGGGAACACATAAGTCTGAAGCATCTCTTCGAGGAGCAGAAAGGCCAAGCCAACCTTGCGGCCTGTACCACAGGCGCTTATGGCGGAGTTGTAGACGATGGTGTTTGTCTCTATCTTGGCTATGCCCATCTGAGCCAGTAGGTCGATGGCCATATCCCACCTCCAGGCCTTCTCGCAGGCACTCATCGCAGCACCAAAAACCACGACGTCAGCCTCGATCGAATCTCCATCGAAAGCTTGCAGAAGTGCAATGGCCCTTTCCCATTGCTGGGCCTTCTCACAGGCTCCAATGGCAGAAGTCCGTGCAATGGCATTGGGCATCTGCCTCCTCTCCTCTATTCGACACAAGGCCAGCAGCGCAGACTCCCAGTGGGAACCAGCCTCCCACGCAGACACCAGGGAGCTGCACAGGATAGGATCCCGAAACCCATCCTGGCGCAAGAGATCCAAGGCGCGCTCCCACTCCCGTGCTCCAGTGCAAGAACTGACGACACTGCTCAGAATGAAGCCGCTCTCAGAGCCAGACTCTTCCATGAGAAGAAGGGCCTTTTGCCAGGCTCCAGAGCGTTCACATGCCGTGACCAAAGCAGACCAGGCTTCGTGGCTGGGGCGGACCCCCATCAAAGCACAGGCATCCCAAACTGCCAAGGCTGCTGTGAGCTGCTGACCACGGCCACAGGCTGCCACGACAGAGCCGAGAGTTACTACAGATGGGCTCAGGTCCGAAGTCAGCATCAGCTCGAATAGGGCCAGTGCCGCAATCCATTTCCCAGCTCGCTCACAATTCGCAATCCCTGCGTTGATGGCCACTGTGTTCGGAAGAATCTGCTTGGACCCCATGCCCTGGATCAGTTGCAGCGCTTGCTGCCAACAGCTGAAAGCTCGGCCTGCACTGATCGCGGCACTGTAGGAGTAGACGCTCAGTTGCAGGCTCTCCGTTTCCATCTTCTCCAGCATAGAGATTGCAGGTTGCCATAAAGAGCCCTTCTCCATAGCCGAGATGCCAGCACAGTAGGCCATCTCGTCCAGCCTCTTGCCAGAGGCAAAGATCTCCAGGGACTGCTCCCACTGCTCAGCTTTGGAGCAGGCACTGACCAACATGCTGCAAGCTGCCACATCAAGGGGAAGATGATCGGTTTCTGCAAGATCCCTCCAAAGAAACAGGCTGTCTTGCCACCTGGGCCAGGGGAAGGCACAGCGGCTTGACTGGTCCCTCCCCTCTTTTCTGGGGATGGTGAGTGGGAGTCGCGCATCAACCTCTGGAACTTGTTGCTATGTCTGATCGGACCCACCTCCGTTCCTTGATGAGTGTGCTGACGGTGCAGCTGCAGGCAGCTGCATTCGGCGGTTCCCTCGCCTCCCGGGCATCTCGCAGCAGGGACACCTGGGACTGGGCAAGACCACCAGGAGACGCTTGACGAAGCTTCCATCTTTGCTCAAGGGAAAAGCAGCACCCCAGAATCCCAGAAAAAACAATCCTCCAAAGCCCATGTGCGACGGGGCCACAGCCAGGGACCAGCTGCGGGAACGGAGTGCCGCCCTGACACTCCCAAGCAGCTCCCGGCCCGAACCACGGCCCTTGCTCTGGAGGACCACGTCCATAGCACATTGTGGCAAGGAGAAGGGCTTTCCAGCACTCACAACTGAGCCTGGCGAGGTTCCTGGTACGTCGAAGCACTTAGGAGAAGGGCTTTAGGGTTGGGGGCTTCAGGGTATAAGGACTGTGGGCTTTACTTACTCGCACCTGGGACTCCGCCACACGGGTGTGTGTGTGTGTGTGTGNNGGGGGGGGGGGGGGGGGGAGGAGGCTTTAGGGTTTAGAGTTTAGTTGTGTTTTGGGTTTGGGAAGTGGACGTGGCCATCGCACTCTGCGGCTGTCGAGGTGTCTTGCGGCATGTGCCCCCAGGCTAGCAAAGGTCTTTAGGGCCTTATGGCCTCACCGTAGTTATTTTCGGGCTTTACATTTCATCGACAGCGAAACTTTTTTCAACGTCATGTATCTGTGGGTTGGAACTCTACGTTCCACAGAAGTTCCTCGGGCTTCTTGGTGTCAAACTGCTTTGGGCTCTGAGCCTATGAACTATGTGCCCACAATTCCGAAGGGATCCGAAACTCCTCCCTTCATATAACCCTTTCTGACACTGGCCTGCAAACATCACGCCAGGACAGCCATCCCTGTCCACCCTAAACCCCATGTGCCTGGTTTTTAACCCCAGAGGCCTATAAATTCTAATCGGGACCCCTGGGCCCTCTCAGGGCCAGACCAGAGCGCGAAGCACCGCCGCCCGTCCTCCGTCGGCCTTAGCTTCTATGACTACACGACTAAAAAAAGGGGCCTTAATAATTAGAATAGGGTTTGAACCCTGAGGGAAAATATTGGTAAGTATTAAGGCTTCTAAATTATTTCTACTACGGCTGCTGCTGCAAATGCAGCTACTACTGCTACTACGGCTACTGCTACTGCTGCTGCTGCTGCTGCTACCACCACTACTACCACCATTACTACCATTACTACTACTACTACTACTACTACTACTACTACTACTACTACTACTACCACTACCACCACCACTACCACTACCACTACCACTACCACCACCACTACCACTACGACTACCACTACCACTACCACTACCACTACCACTACCACTACCACTACCACTACCACTACTACTACCACTACGACTACTACTACTACTACTACTACTACTACTACTACTACTATCATTACTATTACTGTCATTATTGTTGTTTTTGTCATTGTTTTCATGATTCTCTGTATGTTTCATATAT